TTCCACCTCACCCCAGAAAGAATGGCTGCTATCAAGAAATCAACCAATAACAAATGCTGGCGGGGGTGTGGGGAGAAAGGAACCCTTCTCCATTGTTGGTAGGAGTGCAGACTGGTGCATCTGCTGTGGAAATCACTGTGGAGATTCCTCAAAGAATTAGGATTAGAGGTCCCAGTTGACCCTGCTATTCACCTGCTGAGTATGTTCCCAAAAGAATTAAAAGCATCTTACCACAGTGACATATGCGCACTCATGTTTATAGCAACACAGTTTGTAATAGCTAAATCTTGGAAACAGCCCAAAAGCCCATCAACTAGTGAGTGGATAAAGAAGATGTGGGTTTTTTTTTAATAAAATGGAGTGCTACTCCACTATAAAGAAAGGTAAACTTGAGATATATTTAGATATAGCTAAATGGATGCACCTGGAGGCCATACTCATAAGTGAAATAAATAGGACACGCATGTAAATACCGAATCATTTCTCTGGTATGAGAAATTGAAGGTGTAAATGAGGACCAAAATGTATAATAGATATTGTGAAATAGGAAGAAAATGTTTAAAAAGAAAGGGGAACTAAGAAGGAGGGGCAGGGGAAAGGAAAGACAAAAATTGAAAATAAGGAAAAGCGGAAACAAAGCTTATGTATATGGGGCCGTGGAGGGGTTGAAGGGAGGGCAGGGGAATAGGAAAAAATAAGAAGACATATCATGAAGAGGTACAAATTTTCAATGATGAATGTGATCATAAGGTATACCTAAATGTACCAATAAACTCAATAAAAACTTTTTTAAAGAGTACACAGTGCCTGAAGCCACACCCCCAGGTGGTTTGAATTCAACTCTGATCAGTTTGAGGCTGGCCTTGGACACAGGTCGCTCACCCTCTCTGGATCTCCGCATCCATAGGTGTAAATGAGAATGGAAGTACTACCCACCTCATCACATTAATGAAAAGGCTGATGAATGGATATATGTCCGGTTCTAAGTGGCCCTGGCATGGAATAAATGGCCAGTCAGTGAAGCAACCAGCAAAGCTCACTGGACATGAAGAGGAACTGTGTCAGTTCTGCTATGTGGAGTTCCGCTGATCTTGCTCCTTTGTCTTCTCACCTTGAAACCTGTCCTGGTGTCTTCAACAGGACATGTGTTTTACAGCCAGGTGTGGTGGTGCATGCCTATCATCCCGGCACCAGGAGGCTGAAGCAGGAGGATCACCAAGAGTTTGAAGCCAGCCCAAGCTACATAGTGAGTTGCCTGGAATACATAGGGAGACCCTGTCTCAAAAAACAACAAACAGAAAAGACATGTGTCTTGTTACTGTCTGGATTCCCTCCTCAAGTAATTTGTTTTCTAGCTGAGCTCAATGGTTTGGGCTCACCATTCCATGCTGTCTACACCACAGGTGGGACTTTCTCTGTGCTGGCCCAGTCCTGACTGGCTTCTTTCATCTGCCTCTCTGTCTCCTATTGCAGGTAATCCCCAGCCAGTCCTCTTTTGACCTCCAGATGTTGCAGCATTAGCATGGAAAGCCTAGAGCTGCTAGAGACATTTTATGACCACAAGGAGAGTCGTTCAGCATCCCTGTTGCCGGAGTCCACAAGGGGAAAGACTAGGCTGTTTGATCCCCATGCTGTCACCACTAAGCCACTGTGCTCATCAGCAGACACATCCTCCCCCGTAGTCTCAGATCTGGGAGGTCAGGGTCCTCTTATTTAAGACACCGGACATGGGGTTTTCTACTGTTTGCTTGGTAAGGTGCTAATTTATTATTTGCATGGTAACGTGCTAAGTTTACATGAATGGTATAGTTCTGGAGGCTCTAAAATTGGGAATATTAACTTCAGTGAGTAGAAATATTCTTGGGTTGCACTTTCTCCCAAGAATTCTGTAAATATCGCTTCCTTCTCTGCCTGATTCTGAAAGCTAAGGCGACAGAATCTGACACTATGCACATTTGTCTACCACTTCTGTGGGAAATCCAATAATGTATCCAGCACATCTTGACCTGGGTTGTTCTATATCACTTGTTTCTGGAATATTAGGATTGATCTGCAGATTAATTCCTTTTATTTTGGAAATGTTTTCTTGTATATGTGAAAAAAATCTAATAGCGTAGTTCTCTTTTTCAGGAGCATTAACTTTTTTAGTTGCTTAAATATGTGCATCTTTCTTCTGCACACTTGTGATAACTGAATCAAAGCCGTCCTCTAAGTCCTTGACTTAGCTGAGTTGTACCTGGTCTAGTTCTTGGTTCTTCTAATTTCCTATACTGGATTATTTCTGATTTTCATTCGACTTCCTTAGCTGTGTAATCTTTTTTCCCTTCTCATTTTGTTGCATTATAGTCTCTGTTAGTTCTTGTTTTATTAAATGGGTGTTCTCATTGGCTTATTCTCTAATATGGACACATGTAAAAAAATTGTTTTCTTTTACTTCTTTGATTCTTCACACACTTTGCCCACGCCTTTTTTTTTCTTTCATTTTCATTACGGTCTTGGATTGGGGCACGCTGTTTCCCTGTATCTTATTCGTAGTTAGCATGCGTTGCTCTGGACGAATCTTCGGTTTGCCCGAGTATAATGCGGGTGGTTTCTCTTTGACCCCCTTGCCACCGTGTGAGTTACTGCAGTTACCCACTTTTGCACAGCCTGGGCACCCAGTGAGGATGGGCCCTGCCTCCCTTCGTCTGTGCAACGCCAGCACCCTGCCTTGTCAGGAGACCAGTGCACTCGTCTGCGACAAAGTGCCCTTTGGCTTTGAATTTTTGCTTCATTTCATGCGGGGTCCTAGAAAATGACCGGCCCCGGCGACCTCCCCGGCGACCGAGAAATGAGCCCCTCACCCTACTCCCGGGAAGCTGAGGGACCCACGCCGTCCACCTGCCAAGCACCCACAGTGGTCGCCCCCTGTCCTTCCAGCGGTTGCCCGGGCAACAAGGGGCCGAGGTGCAGGCGCGCAACGCGCGGGGCTGAAGCGCGGGCCTCGGAGCAGCACTGCGCAGGCGCGGCGTCCCCGTTGCTAGGGCCGCCTACCCCTGCAGAGTGGCCAAGGAGAGGCGCCGCCGCCGCTTAGCTATGCCTGCCAGTGAGTGAACTCCACTCAGTGCCTTCGCGCCCTCCACAGCTGGCCAGCCTTCCTAGGGCAAAGGAGGAGATTCCTGGCGGGCGAGAGGAAGCGGGCAAGTAGCCAGCCATGTCGAACTCGTAAGCGATGGGCTCTTGGGCATCGCCATGGGTGGACTCCTCGGTCCTCTCCTCTTGCTCCTCTCCTCTCGCCCCTCTCCTCTCGCCCCTCTCCTCCCGGCGGCTCTCCTCGCCTCTCTTTCTTCATAACTCAGCAGATTCGGTATGTCCCGGGCTGGAGTATCCGCTCTTGTGGGCAAGGATATTCCACAGTTAGGTCTCCCCTCTTCGCTGTGCCCACTGCGCCCTTGCTGGTGTGTTGCTGAGGAAGCTTCCGGTCGCCTTCCTCAGTAATCAGTAAGTCGCTTGAGAAAACTCCCAGGTTCCAAAACTTCCCTCAGCCCACAGCCTGAGGAGGCGTCTTCACTCTGCTGTCCGACAGGGACCCAAGGCAGGGAGCCAGGCACGAAGCGCCTCCCAGCAGTTACCCTTTGCTCTTCTGAGCCCTAACTTCCAACACATGATGCGTGCCCGCTTCGGGTGCACGGCTCCAGGTCCCGGAACTGCAGCAGCTGTTGAAGCCTCCCAGCCACCCCGTGCTGCAGCAGCTGTTGCTGTTATTTCCGCTCGACAGAGGAAGCTTAGGTACTGAAAGTTGAGAACCTCGGACAGTAGCAGGTGGTGCAGGACAGGTGCGGCCCTGCGCCTGGGAGAGCGAGATAAAGCGGCACCCGGCGGCGCGCGCCTCCGCCAGCGTGCACGCGTAGACGCCGCCTGCTATAGCTGTGGGCCCGAGGGTAGCTTGGCTGCGGGCTGGGCCCATTAACTTAACTGCTGCTAGTTCTGGACGTTTGTAAGAGTCGGGTCGGCACAGGCACAGCCAGGAGACCAGGAGAAGAAGGGTCCTGGGCAAGGGTGAAAAATAAGAACCGAGAGAGACTATGTAAAGGTGCCAATTTCCAATGATGAATGTCATTATATTGTATACCTAAAATGTACCAAGGATTAGAATGAATAATCGATAATGCAAAATAGGAAGAGAAGGTCCAAAAGGGTAGGGATAGAGGGAGGGGCAGGGGAAGGAAAGAAGGGAAAGGAAAAATGATGAGAAATGGAAAAAATGGAAATAAAGTCTTTGTAAATAGGGAAGGGTGGAGGGCATGAGGGGAGGGCTAGGAATGGGGAAAAGTAAGAACCAAGATGCATTATGTCAAGGTACAATTCCCAGTGAGAAATGCAATTGTGTTGTATACCTACTATGTACCAATGAAAGAATTTAACAAAAAAAAAGAAAGAAAGAAGGGTCACACTTATCTGTGCTCCTATGGAAACTATTTGAATATTTGTTTTATATGGATTTTTATTCACTTTCACACATGCTACTAAAGAGGGCCCACAACTGCCAAGCAAGCGTTTGTAGCTTGTGCAGCGGCAGCATGGGCTGAAAGCTTAGACTTGTGACTTGTCTTGGAAATAAAGATCTTAAGAAAAAAAAGAAAAAGATAGCAGGCGAGCAAGGGAGAGGCTGCAGCCCAAACGGCAGGACCTGGAAGGTTCAAGCCGCCAGGACCGACTCGGTGCCGGGCGTCCTGGGGTTCCATCCCAGTAAGGCGGTGGGCTTGCTCCTGACTGCTGGGGTCTCTTCCGTGGGCGCCAAGCCACCCCACCTGCACCATGGTGTGTGCAGCCCTCACAGGGTGCCGACCACCATCGGTGCAGAGTTAAATGTCATGAAGCATGAGGTGCCTTTTATCTCCTGCTGTCTGTTCCGCCCCTGCACTTAAAAATCATGGCTACACTTACTCACAGCCTTCAGCTTATTATTCCCAGTTTCTTGGTGGTGAGGAACCTGTCTTGACTCTTGACATAGGAGCCTGCCACTTACTTTAACGGTCTGCATTCTAATTTTCTTCAGCTAGGTCTTGTGTGACTCCCACCACAATAATTCCCCAATTTTGAGTGTTCTTTCTTGGTACTGGGAATGGGATATCTTTTTTCATTTCCTTCTCTTCACTCTTTACCTGTGTGTCTTATCTAAGTCTTGTACCTCTGCAGTACTAACGGACTCACTGTTTTTGCTGCTGGTTTCCGTGGATTTGCCATTTATAAACAGTGGTGATAAAAATCTCTTGTATTCTTCTCACCTTAGCTCCTTTGTCCTTGTTCACTCCAAGTTTTCTGTTTGGTTTCTGGTTTCCGCCTCACGTGTGAGGAAGTCTTCACTGTCCATGTCTTGGAGTGTGGACGGGGTCTCTCTCAGGTGGCGGCTGGCAGTCTGTCAGGTGTCTGCAGCCGTGACCTGCGGGTCTGGGGCTGTCTTCCTGCGCGTGGTTATTCCCGGATGTTGAGTGTGGCATCCTCGGCCACCCTTCCCGGCTTGGAAGCAGTGCTTTTGACCTGACGCTGTGTTCTGCTTGCTCAATCGGATTTCTGCTCCAGATTCTAAACAGAATCAGCCTCCCCAGTGTTTTCCTGCCCCACGTAGGCCCCAAACCCTACTCGGTCCAGAAAGTGAATCGAGCCCTTTTCTGCCGCCCATGGGTGGTGTGGAGCCTATGAGCGTGCCCAGCCCGGGCTTTGGTGAACGGACTCTGCGCTCACTGTTTTCCCCACTTCCCGACATCGTGCTCTCCGGGAGACAGCTGATACGTGGCTGTTACTGCTGAATGAAGGTGCAGTTCCTCTTTGACTTGACTTTTTCCTTCCTCATGTCCTTTCCCAACTGCTTGACTTTCTCAGGCTTGGCCCACGGATGCTGGAATATGCCAGGTGCCACACGGTGCTTTTGTTGTTCTTTTGCAGCACAGCTGTTGCTAGTGTTGCTGGTCGGTAACTGTGGTTACTAACTACTACTGATGCACGGAGTGAGCCTCCTGAGTGGAAGAGAATTCTGAGTTTCTGATAATGGTCTCTTTTACGATAAAGTTGTCTAGTAGAGTGCTATTTCATTGGTAATATGTTTTTCCCCTTTTTTCATTGCAGTACTGGGGATCGAACCCAGGGTCCTTGCACTAAGCTACATCCCAAGCCCTTTTTCATTTTTTATTTTGAGGCAGGGTCTCACTCAGCTGCCCAGGCTGGGCCTGAACTTGTGATCCTCCTGCCTCAGCCTCCCAGAGTGCTGGGATTACAGGCCTGCGTCCCATGCCCTGGCCACTAGTAGTAGCTTTTAAAATATTGCTAAATTTTGAGAAATCTGGTACCTGAACACCCTGGGGAGGGGACGCCAGAGGCAGAGTTCAGCATCCTAACTAGGGCGGTGTTGGGGAAGTGAGAGTTCAGTTCCTTTGAGTCAGGCCATTTTTGTCCTCCTGTGGTGGCACCAAGCCTGCGCCCCATGACTCCGTGTCTGCCCCTCACCTGCTTTCTTCCTGATGAACAGTGGCAGGGTTCAGTGGTCAGAGTGTGAACTCTGGAGCGGACTGCCCAGGTGCAAATCAGACATTCAAATCCCATGATGTTAGACAATACCTGTGCCTCAGTTTCCTCATCTGTAAACTTGACTGAGTAAGGATTTCATATCCAGGGTGTCTTTTTGGTTCTTTTCCAGAACCTCCATCATTTTACTGGCAGTCTTTCGTATCTGTGTTGTCTTTCTTAATTCCTTCAACTGTTTATTTGTCTCTTCATTGATCACTTTAATGATTGATTCATTCAGCTGCTTATTTGTTTCTTCTTTGATCTCATTGATTATCTTAAGAGGTTTTTAATTCATTAGCATTTTTATCCACTTCTGTATCTGTGGGATCAATTTTGGGGAAGTTGCAAATTTTTTTGTAATCTTGTTGCTTTGATCTCTCGTGAATTTTGTGTTTTTGCGTTGAAGCTTACAGAGCAGTTTGGATGGCTATCTCAACCTTGATTGAGTGGAGTCTTTTCCAGTGAATGACTTTCTCTTTGTGAGGTATTATCAGCATGTCTCAGCATGAGAGCACTCAGCTCATCCTGCTCAGAGTACTGAGTTCCCTCGCTTTCTCTGCATTCCAAGGAGAAAGCAACTACTAGAAATATCGGCATCTGGGGAACCAACCATATACAAGGCAAGGGCGATCAGAAAATGTACTGAGCTTTTAAATAAAGAATATTTGTTACAGTAAAAGACGCATTGCTGTGAATCCCCTCAAAATCCTCCCCTTCACTTCAAACACACATAATTCATTATTCTTGCCACTTTCTGAAGCAGCTCCGGAGTCCTCTTTAAAGTCTTTACCAGGTCCGATAAAATTCAGTGCTGCTGCTGAGTCCCACCCAGCAGAAAGGCAGGCTTATAGAGATGGTATAGTGTGTCCTCATCCACCTTGTTCACCGGATCTTTCCCAAAGTCAAAATGATCATAGACAAATGTTTCGAGTGATTCAGGACATCGAGGCAGCCAGGACAGTGCAATTAAAGACATTCACAATAGAGGACTCCAGAGCTGCTTCAGAAAGTGGCAGGAATGATAGGACAAATATGTTCAAAGCAAGGGAAAGTATTCTGAGGATTAATGGCCTTGTGTCTTTTACTGTAGTAACTTTTAAAATTTAAACATCCATGGTATTTTCATCACATCTCATATCAGCATATGATTTAAAGCTTGTATAAAAAGCTGCCAGCTATTTCACATTTTTTGTATTTTTATTTATTTTTAATTAAATTTTTTATTTTCATTTGTACGTGTTTGCACTACACAATGATTACATTCATTGTAGGGAGTTGATTCATGTACATAACACATATCAATTCTTTCTCTCTTCCCCTCCACCATTTTTTCATATACTTATCAGCCTTTCATACTTCTTTTGAGAAGTATCTGTTCAGTTCATTTGCCCACTTTTTGATATGATTATTTGCTTTCAGGGTTCATTTTTTGACTTATTTATGTATTCTTAATATTAATCCTCTACCAGAAAAATAACCAGTAAATCTTTTTCTCACATTCACTGGGTTGTCTCTTTACTCCGTGTTTACTCCATGTTTTTACTCTCCTGTGCTTTATAGAAGCTTCTTAATTTGATATGATCCCATTTGTTGATATTTTATATTAATTCTGTGCCTTTGGAGCCCTATTTTGGAAGTTTTGGCCTATGCGTTTGTGCTGAAGTGTTTCCCCTATGTTTTCTTCAAAAGGTTCGAGGACTCAAGTCTTATATTTAGGTCATTGATCCATTTTGACCTCATGTTGCTATAGGTGAGAGTTAAGGATCTACATCAGAACTATTTCTTTGTTTGTTTGTTTGTTTTTGGTACTGGGGATTGAACTCAGGACCTTGCGCTTGCAAGGCAGGCAGGCAGCGGTGGCACCACTGAGCTAAATCCCCGGCCAGAACTATTTCTTAAAGAGGCTGCCTTTTCTCCAGCATAGGTTTTTGGCCCATTGTCAAAAGCTCAGATGACTATAGGTGCATGGGTTTGTATCTATGACTTCTGTTCTATTCTGTTAATCTATTGTCTGTTTTTTGTGCCAGTACCATGTTGCTTTTGTTGCTTATGGCCTTGTGGTGCACCTTGAAATCTGGAGCTTATGATACCTGTAGAATCTTTTCTTGCTCAGCATTACTTTGTCTATTCTGGGTCTTTTTTTGTTTCCGTGTGAGTTTTAGGATTTTTTTTCCTAGTTCTGTAAAGAATGTTGTTGATATTTTAATAGACATTGCAGTGAATCTTAAATTGCTTTGGGTAATTTGGCCATTTTCACAAAATTAATTTTTCCAATCTAGAGCAAGGGAGGTCTTTCCATTTTTCTCATCTTCTTCAATTTCTGTCTTTGGTGCTCTGTAACTTTCATTACAGAGGTTTTGCACCTCCTTGGTCAGGTTGATTCCTAGATACTTAATGATTTTTGGGTTTTTTTGGTACTGGGGATCGAACTCGCGTCCTTGCACTTGCACAGCAGGTGGCAAAACCACTGAGCTAATTCCCAGGCCCTAGATACTTAATGTTTCAAGCTATTGAAAATGATTTTAATTTCTTGATTTCTTTAATGCACAGGAACACTATTGATTTCCCTGTTGATTTTGTATCCTGCTACTTTGATGAATTTATCAGGTCTAAAAGTCTTCTGGTAGAGTTTTTCAGATCTTCCATGTAAAGATACCTATCATCTGCAAATAGTGATTATTTGACCTCTTCCTTCCCTACTCATGTGTCTTATGTTTCTTTCTCTTTCCTAATTGCCCTGGTTATGGCTACAAGTCCACTATTGAACAGGAGTAGTGAGAGTGAATACTCTTGCCTATTCCTGGTTTCACAGAAAATGCTTTCCATTTTCCCCCATTCCATATGATGCTGGCAGTGGGTGTGTCATATACAGCTTCTATCAATTTCAGGTCTAGATCCTTCTATGCCTGTTTTCATTAAGATTTTTTTTATCATGAAGGGATGTCGGGTTTTTTCAAAAGCCTTTTCTGCACTTACTGAGATGATAATGTAGTTTTTATCCTTGATTCTATTTATGTGGTGTAATTCATTTATTGATTTACATATGTGGAAGCATCCTTGCCTCCCAGGGATGAAACCAACTTCGTCATAGTGTACGATCTCTTTGATGTGTTGTTGAATTATATTTGTAAAGATCTTAATGAGGATTTTTGCATCTGTGTTCATTAATGATACTAGTCTGTAGTCTTCTTTTTGTGTGTGTGTTTCTGTTTTGGCATTAGGATAATGCTGGCTACACAGAATGAATTTGGAAGCATTTCTTCCCTTTCTATTACATGGAGAATTTTGAGGAGCATTAGTGATAATTCTTCTCTTAAGATGTGATAAAATTCAGCAATAAATCAGTCAGGCCCTGGGATTTTGGTAATTGGAAGAGTTTTAATTACTGCATCAGTCTCATTGCTTGTTATTGATCGGTTTAGATTTATTAGAGCTTATTGATTCAATTTATGAATTTATTTATTTCCAATTTATACATTTCTACAAATTTATGTATTTCTTCTGGATTCTCCAATTTATTGGAATATAAGTTTGCAAAATAATTTCTGATAACCCTGTGGGTTTGAATGATGCCTGCTGTAATTTCCTGAACTATTCATTTGGTAATTATAGCAGTGGCTGTACCCAAATCCACATGCTTATCAAAATATAAATTGCCTAAAAAGCCTTGCAGCCACGTGCAGTACTTCCTTGAGTTCTTACTTCATTGCACATTACATTTTGTAGTACTAGATAACCAATACAGTAAGTCCTCGACTTATGAACACTCAAGTTGTGAACTGTCACAGGTACACTGTATAAGATTCACAGGTGTTCTGTTTAAGACTCACTTTGTCGCATTACGAGCAAACCCAACTTAGCAAGAACATTCTCCTGGAATGAAACTCGTTCGTAAGTCAGGGACTTCCTGGATATATCCCTGTCAAAATCATTTTAATTTGTTAAATTGTCTAAATTCTATGTCTTCCCTCAGAATGTATAATAAAGTGTGGCACCAGACCCAAGAAGCCCTCAATTCTTTGCTTGATAAAGAATCTCAGCACGTGATAGAACCACAAAGAAATCAAGTTTTCATCTTCCAGATGTTGGCTACATTCTACATAAAATATGTGCAGATCTTCAGAAACCTGGAGAACATCTATGACCAGATGGTCCATCCGCAGAAACGAATACTGATCCGGAAGATACTGGATGGAGTGATGGGCCGCATCCTGGAACTGAAGAATGAAATGGTTGAATTGGAATTAAGCGAGTTCCATTATTTTGATGATATCTTACAGGACCTAAAGTTGACTCCCGTAAGTACAGCAGAGTATTATTTTTTTATTTTTTGTAAGTAAGATATGTAGGCCTGTACCCAATACTCTTATAGACTTTCTAGACACATTTACCTATGGCTTAATTATGGTATTAAAAGCCTAAACATTTATCTTCAGTCACACCATACTATCATGAACCAGGTTTAGGTTCCCTTTGTTTTGGATGCAGGCAAATCTTGCACAGTCCCGGGCTCAGTTAGTACAGAGGTCTGGTCTCACCAAACCCCATGGTTTCTGCCCAGGACTTTTGCACTGGAGTGGGTTGACCTGTCATAATATTCTGTAGCACAAACCCTCCCAGCCCCCAGAGCAAGTCCCCTTCTCTCTGTGTCCTGGGGAAGTCTCTCTGGACTTTATTTTCCTTATCCTCTTCTCCTGGATGGGAAGCCGGTTGGATGCTGGGTCTTTATTCCCCGGTGGATACCACTTCTCCTGTGCTTTGAGCCGGCAGCTTCACTGTGTTATATTTGGACCTCTGCTTGGCCTCCCTCCCCATGGACCTCTCCCAGCTGGCACCTGGTAACCTGGGCAGCCTTCTATGGGCAGTCAGCCCTTCCCACTGCCCTTCTGACTGTGGCTGCCTGATGCCCACCTGAGATGTCTTCTGATGTTCTATCTGGCTGGGTCTTCTGGGGACCGTTGTGCAGGTCAAGAAACTTTTGTCATAAAAGTTGGAAAAGTACAACACTTGAACACACTGTTTAATAAATAACATCACAGCATCAGATAAGAGTATAATCATTCCTCCCTGGTTCTCCATACCCACAAGCCACACTCACCTGAGACCCTGGCAGCACACTCTCAGGTCACCCCAACGCCTCACTAGCCTAGAAAATGATTGATGTTCCAAAGCTACTGTCACCTCCCAGGAGCCCTGTCCCTCTCAGTCCTGAAGCTGACCCACTGGGAGTCACACCTTGAATCGGAAAAAAGGGGAAACAACCTCAAAGACCCAAACCTTGGAGTCCTGTGGCAGCTCTTCCACCAGGAAGCAGCCAGTATGGCTGATGGCGTCGGGGATGATACTTCTCCATGGGGCAAGGAGCATCTCTGTACTCTGGATTGTTGGAAAATACTCTTTCAACCTCCTCCAACTTGAAATATGTGGCAGTACACAGAAGCAAAGAGCGTACATTTGTATTTATTGCATCAAAAAATCCAGTTTCCTAATAAACCAAATTAATTTTGTGACAAATTTTTGTAATACAGCAATTTAGGTTGAAAATAAAACCAAATTATTAGGAAAAAAAAGTGTGACCATTTACATCAAGGTGATGGTGCTGATGATAAATTACTCACATTAACTCAGAGATCTCTGTAACCCAATATACTGCTACCCTGATTTGAGCCATTGTTTTAGATAGCTGAGATAATATTATATTTCTTGAAAGAAATTCATGAAATAAGATTAGTTCTTTGAGGCGATATATAGATACAGAACCCAGAGGTTTCAGTGTAATGAGTAAAGGAAGGACACAGTGTGATTTTCCTTTTGCCGTGTTGTGTCTCCTTGGTGGTAGTGAATTCCCCCGCTCCCTGGGCCTGACTGAGAAGGGGCAGTGAACCCAGGGTTTGGGATATGCTCAGTCTTGCTCTGCATTTTAGGTGGATTTTCTGGAATCATAACAAAAATGTTCTTCTGTTTGCCCTCTCTCTTCTCTAGCAACAATTAGATATTCCCATACCCAAGTACTTTTTGAAGGAGAAGTTAGAAGTGATAAGAGGAAGAGAGAAGATCCTGGCGCAGATATTAGCAGAGAGTGGATTAGATGTGCCCGACATGGTTCGTATCATTTTGATAAGTGGTTTTTCAAAATCTGTATAACTTCCTTTTCCTGATGCTCTTGAGTGTAGGAGAAACAATGACATTATTCACTACTTGAGGAGGGAATCACTCTGCCCTTGCGGTCATGTATAGTATGTAAGAAGTTATATAACTTTTAGATGTGTTCTTGGTGACTCATAATCATTATTTTTCAAGAGTTTAAAAATAGAGATCACAGTGTAATGGGTTGGTTAAATTGGGATTTCAAAGATAGGTGGCTTAGAAACGCAGTTTAATCTTTCATGTCCTGCTCACTTAGCTAAAGTTAAAAGCTAAATACTCTTCACATAAAATAATTAAGTGCCACCCTATCATAGTAGGAACTTGAAGATGACTGTGTTTTCTCAGGTGCTCACCGGCCTTTGCAGACTTCTAGTTGAGGGACACTTGGGTCACTGGAAAGCAGAGTCTATGGGGATGAGAAAGAGAAATCCTGGAAGAGCACCTCTGTCCTCCAGCTGCCCTCCTCCCTTCTCCTCAGCTGCCTTAGGCCTGATCCCCACCTCTCACGGTGACTCCCAGGCAGGCAGCCTCCAGCACAGTCATTTCTTGCACCTGGAAGGCCTGCTCCTGCATTCAGAGACTTGCGGCCTGTGGAGTGAGTGATCCCTGTGCCCAGCAGCAGTTGGCTCTGCACATCGGGCCCTGCAGAGCAAGGGGCACAGAGTGGCTGTGCAGAGCCTGCAGGGACAGAGCAGCATGCCGGTGACAACCAGCATGTGCATTCTTCCTGCAGACAGGCCCTGCAGGTAGTGCTGGCCTGGGTCACAGTGCTGAGGAAAACTGAAGCTCACGGCAGGGGTGGTGGGGACAGAAGTGCAGGGCCACAGGGAAGGACTCGAGTTGTAGCCAGCTGAGCACCATCTCTGCACCAGTGGGCTCAGTGCTGCTCTTCTGTACACACCTGTCAAAGTGGGGCTCTTTCTACCTGATACAGCATCCTTCTGGAAACCTTTCCTGACCACCGAACCCAAGCTGAGCGCTCTTTCCTGTGCCCTCCACAAAGCCCTGGCCCCCAGCTACATTATGGATCCCTTGGAGTCCGTTCCCTGGCTGGATGCTTGGGTCCAGCCCTCCCCTCACCTGTGCTTTCTGTCCGAGAACCTGCTGGATGTCCTTTAATCCCCTGAAGGAACCCTTTGTGCTAAGCAGTGAGGCCAGTGCAGAATCCCTGAAGATTTTATGGGACAAATGGAGAAGGGAGATTACATCACACACAAGGCAGTACAGCCCCAAGATGCCTCCCTGCTGGTCTCCTCCCACCATCTCTCTTCCTTTGCACCAAGTAGCCATGAGGGAGGTTTCTCTCTCCCTTCCTCGCCCAAAGTCCAGCCTCTCATTGAGCTGGGAAGAGTGCTCATCCCTGCCTCGGCCATGTCAGAGGTGCCAGACCCCAACAGGCACAAGGCTTCCCCTGAGCCTTTCTCCCTTCCTGAGCCACCTCTCCCTTTAAGCTGCTAATTTCTCCAGTGCGTGTGCATTACACACCCCCAAGAAGAAGTTTGATCATTGAAAATTACTGTAATTTCACTATTCAAATTCCTCTAATTTGGATGCTTAACATCCACTGGTTGGTTGGTTGTTTGGTGTGGACTGTGCCGGGGATCGAACCCATAGCCCCTTGGATGTTAGGCAAGCACTCTACCTCTGAGCTCCACCCCAGCCTGCATACCCACTATTGAGGTGCCTAAAACTCTTTTTTAAGCTGACTGGACTACCCAAAATTCCTTGGATAGAGTGATTCAGACTTGGCTGATAGTGTCAGAATGACAGTGTGGAATTTATGCAAATAAGCACAATACTGTCAGGTGCTAGGTGTCTGCCATGTGCATAACTGCTCCTGCATACATCACTGATCTAACAGAGTAACGTGCATCTTCCTTCTGGCACGCGAAGCACATTATTAAAATGTGTGTCCCCGTGCATTTGAAGCGATGGAATCTCACCGTAAACCATGCTGAGGAGAGTTGCACGTGAACAAGCTTCCTCATCTCAGCCTCGTTCCTCATGCCTTACTGAGAGGCTGCAGAGGGGCAGGGGGTGGTTTAGTGGGGACTTGTGTGGGTGACGCTAATCTTGTGAGCCTCGGTGTTCTTAACTCCTTTGGGGTCACTGTGGCCCGGGAGGTTGCCCTTGTGAACTGGATGCAAAGCATCCGGCATGTGTGGGACCTCAGCAGATGCCTCTGCCTCTCCTCCTCTCCCCTTCCTGTGCCCCTGCCGCCACACGCTGCCCGCCTGGTAACAGGGAAGGAAGGAGTCGTCCTGGGAGCAGTGTCCTGGGTGATGACTGACGACCCCAGGCCCCTGCGCCTAGCTTCAACATGGCGGCCGTGGGTTCCCTTGGAGCCCGGATGGGGCCTGAGCCTGGCTCGGCCATTTCTGGCTCTGTAGCCTCCCCACTGCCTCCACCCATGGATGGACGTCCCCAGGACAGGCCATGCACAGTGTCCCCCTTCTCGGGGACAGCAGTGGGTCCTCACCCAAGCCCTCTCCTGGCTCTCTCAGGCCTCTGGTGCTCCCAGAACCTCACTTGTGTTGCTCTTTTCCCCAAACCAGAGCAGCCCCTCAGCTGACTGTCACCCCATACCTGACCTTAGGTCCCCACCATCCACTGCTCAAGCCGCTGAGCTGTTTTAGTGCCATTCATCCCTTTTGGATGTCTCTAAGACACAGATTTACAGACAATGGGAGATACTTCATAAGGAAACCTAGTGGTTCCAAAAATGATTTTAGCATTAGTTGTATTCACTAAGTCAGACTGTACTTGATTTTAAACTCAACATTTTATTTGACATATATTTTTAGTGTTTAATTCTCATATTAGAGAGGTGCTTTTAGTTTCTGATCCTACTGTGAAGTCAACGAAATATTGGCAGCAATTTCAAATTGTACTGAATCCACTTTATTGACATTTTTGGTATGAATTGCCACCAGGATGAAAGATTGTGGCCCTAATTAGTATTTTGTTTGGAAGAAAAGAAGGAAGCTACTGGCCCTTAAATTTCAGATCACTCGTGAACAGGATATAGTATCAAAATACGCGTAATTAACCGGGAAGCGAATGTGAATCATGTGGTGACTCCTGGCAGGGGGTGCCAGATGGAAGTGATTGGTGGGTACATAAAGTGTGATCAAAAACTGTGGTGAATGTTTTGTTTTTAATTTATTACCTATAAAAGAGACATTACCTTTAGTCCCCCTCTAAATCATTCCCCTTACTTCGAACACGTGCCTGCATTCTTGCCACTTTCTGAAGCAGTTTCTGGAAGTCTTTTTTTGAGTGGCCTCAGGAGATATAATCAAAAATATAGTGAATGCTGCTGCTGAGTGCTATCCAATGAAATAGAAAGGCAGGGTCATAAAAACACAACGGTGTCCTTATCCACCTCATTTAGCACCCTGTGACCTCTGGTTCTTCCCCAAGTCAAAATGACCAGGAAAGGTCAATGTTTTGCATGGATTCAGGACATCAAGGCAGCCATGACAGCACAACTAAAGACACTCAGGAGAGAGGACTCCAGAGCTGCTTCAGAAAGTGGCAAGAACATGGGATATGTGTGTTCAAAGCAAGATGGGAGTATTTTGATGACATTTAAGGAGAATGTATCATTTGCAGTATTAAATTTTTTATTTAAACAGTTACTATATGTTTTGATCACATTTCATAGGATGTTTACATACAGATTTATCCTGTGTCTTGCAGAAAACCACTGTGAAGGCAATACCCTTGGAAGAGGCTGTTAAATTAATCCAGATTACTGAGAGGGCACGTCAAGGTCGCCTACGAGCTCTATTCATGAAGCAAATCTATCTTCAAGAGTACAGAGCGAAGCAAGCCAGGATCCTTGGCGAACAAGTAGCAGATGCTGGGGCTGCTGCACTCCGTATTCAAAAGGCAGGCACCTGGGGCTCGCTGGGGGACAGAGTTTCCTGCATGGCCTGAGATGCATTCCAGGTGGAGAAGCAGAGTCCAAGTTCACTTCAGTGGAGGTGGTTTAGTCAGTAAATTCCAGAAATATTTATTAAGTCATCCTGGAGAAACCACTAGCTAAACTGGGTCATGTTTAAAATTTTTATCTCAAGTAGCTATTAAACACAGGCATTTTATTCAAATATTTTTAAAGACCATTGATATTTGTTGGACAGAATGTTGCTAAAATTCAATGAGGAAGTAAATCCTTAATGAGGATTTTTTTAAATGCACGCAGGCACAGACATATGATTACAGAGGGGAAGAGCAAGAATTCATAGCTGACAGCTTGCAGAAAAGCTGACAATCATTTAAAAAATTGCAGCAACCATAACTGATGGACAGAGCACCAATATCCCTTCTTGAAGTGGCGCTTCTCCTTGTCAGAGGAACACCCCAGATTTTACCCCATCTTTTTGCAAAAGGAGGCCAGGGTTGCTTCGGGGGAAACAAAGGAGATGTGATGTGATGCAAATTAGAATTAGGATTGAGAGAAAGTAAGACTAAGGACATACAATGGAGCTGGAAGATCAGAATTCTGTCCCTAATTATGTCTGACTGGGAGTGGGAGAGAGAGGTAGGAAAGACAGATGAAAGATAATTTCTTTCAAGTTTCCATGGGGATATAAAGTTTTAGCATCTGACTTAAAAGCTTGTGATGCATAATTCTTAGAATGTTTCCCCACTTTACGTTGGAAATTTTTCTCTTAAAACCATGAAGAGGCACCCTTAGATCTAGCGCCTCTCTCTCCCTCTCTCTCTCTCTCTCTGTCTTACCCTCTGAAGTTTCTCTTGAGGAAAACTAGGTGGGGAACTCCCTGAATGAGAGGAATAGCTCAGTTCTGTGATTTATCCTTTTTTAAAAATTTTTTTTTCCTGTGATCACAGCACAAAACAAATCAACACATTTGCGCCCAGCCTGGAGTTTATAGTCATCAGGGCAGGTGGCTCATGCCGTTTATGTGGGGGAAGCTGTGTGACCACATCAGTTCTGTTCCTGTTGTGCAGCTAACAAACAGCCCTGCATTTGATTTCAGGTTTGGCGAGGTTTCCATCAGTACAAGAAGACGGATAGAGAGAGAGAGGAGGAGATGGTGTTCCTGGGAATGGTGAGTTCCCTGCCAGCAGGATCTGGCTTCTTCAAGACAGTAGATGCCTTGTCATGACTTTTTCTTTTTGTTGGATTCTCCCCCTTTGCGTTTAATTTGTCACGCCCAATGGATTCATTCTGCTAGGTTTCCTGGGGTTGTGATCCTCATTGT